AGCTAACACGAGAATCCTTTCTGAGTTGAACGTCACAATAAGACATGGATAGCCTAGTTGTTAGGAACTTTCTGAGAAGCGTTATGGAATATCTGGGCAAAGGAAGAATCATGTATCTATCAGCTTTCATCTCTCACTTCTGGTTGCTTCTGTGTCAGTGCTAAACCTACTCTTGCAGCTATTCTGAGCCAGGAAGGAATTCAAGAAACCTAGAGCAGAAATAAGTCACCACTGACTACAAGGTAGTGTTTTTATACAGTCTCAACTGATTTTTCTGGCTCACTCTCAGAACAGAGGCCTTGAACTCATTTCTTTCTCTTTGAAGGCATTTCTCATACCTCCAACTTGGGTCACCACAATAGTCGCCCTATTGCCTAGAACTTTCCTCTTTTAGTCTGAGTGATTTCTCTTCTTCTGTGACATTATATCTCAAGTATCATTTACTCCAGAATACCCACCCTGACCTTCATCACAGGTCCCATTCACCTATTATGTATTAGCACTCTATTTACTTAGGAGAATTTAATTGATATCTGTTTTCCAGCTGGATTACAAATTTCATGAGAACATAATTCAAATTCCATGAAAAAAATTTATTTCCAGTTCTTCTCATCATTATATGTTATGCACTGAGCTTTGTGTATTTACTGAATGTCCAGAAAAAAAGATTTTGGGACCAACCAGTATTAAAAGTACTAGTACCACTGTCTTAGGAATAATAAGTACAATTATTTGAAGAATACAGAAAACGAGTCCTTACACTTAAATATTCTAGAGAATATAAAATAGTTTTGAGTCTATATCACTGGCTATAATTCAGACAACCAAGTCTATCTCATAGCCCCACCAACCTGCAAGAATATGAGAAATATCCCAAAGAAGAAACATACAAGCCTAATGTGCAGTCTTTGTTATAGTCTGCCCCTTTGAATATTAAATTTCCATTCTCTATTGTTCCTGGAAATGGCATACACTTCCTGTCTACCCAGAAAAAGACCCAAAATTGTCTCAGGAACTGCATGTATCTAAATCCAAAGATGCCTGACTGATTTCTAATCTTCTCCATCAGGTCCACATGTGGTTCCTTATAATCCAGGACATGTGAACCAAATACAAAAGTTACCTCCAGCTTCTTCCAAAAGCACATGATATGTGGTAATAGAGTAGACAATAGGAAATCCTTAACAAAACCCCACTAGTGAAAAGGAGGCATACAGCAGTCACTAGTTCAAATAAACTAATTCAAATAAGCCCTTCGAGATTCCCGCCGGAAGCTGTCTAAATACATGATGATTCTTTCCTGATAGGCTTTCTCTTCCAAGTAGCTGCTGTTGGCAGTGCTGTTGCTGTGAAATGTCTCCTGGATCGAGTCTCTAGGAAGATTTTACTGGCTCCTATTTTTTCCTTGCTCCTCAATTACATCTTGCTATTATTCTCCCTGGAAGGAGCAGTTTGCACAGTTTTAATTCCTACAGGTTATTTTATGTTTTGAATACTCAGTTAAATTAAGTCTCATGGTTTCACCAGCAGTGGAATTTTTTAAAACTTGTGACATTTTCAAAATGTAATTTATTTTCAATTAATTCTATATTCTAACAACCACATTGAAAGTCTTGTTTATACATGGTTCTAACATGTCCTTTGTCCTTACCACTTTTCTTAACCTCTCAATGGTCTAAGACAATGGACTAAATTCTAAAAACCTATATATCTTTACTATTCTTTCTGGTGCAATGTTAAGTCTTAGTGGATATCTGTTCAAAACTAAAGATTTAAATACTCAGTTTGTCTCTGTTTTTTAAATTCTTGTTAGTAATTAGTATTTTTCTCAGTTCAGTTATTTTTATGACTATCACCAACATTTTTAATAATACTGTTTCCTACCTTCTTCACTTACAGCCACAAATCTCGACAGTCACACAGGGTATATTTTACCTTATTTTTGGTGTCAGTTTTCTCATCTTTGCACAAGTTTTGCCATCTTTACATCTCCAATGTTCCAAATTGCTTCATATTTTACAAAAGCAAATGGCGCCATGTGGCCACCTAATGGAAACCACTAACCAGTGCCATAGCTTTCCCTCTTTTCTACATGTCTTATTGCTAAGTCTTCCTCACTCTACCTCTATATGCCTACGACCACCCTCCTAAATTCTATCTAAACTGCTCCTGCATCAGGTTAAGTCATCCTTTCTCATGTGAGCCAATGATGTCTCCTTATTGATCACAAAAATTCATTTATATTCTACCTCTGCTCCTAGTAAACATTCTAAAATAAACGTGATCATAGCAACTTTTCCTGAAAACATTGGAATGTTTCCTATACTTTTATACTAAAATTCAATGTTCTTTAGTATCTAGTCTCACTTTGTAGTCCTTTGTTCCAGCCAAGAAATAACATTATAGTTCCCTCAAACACACTATAACCACAGGTCTACCATCAGCTAGAAAACACTCCTTCTGACTGGAGAAAATAAATTAACATTTATTTGTTCTTCAAATTTTACCAAAGACTTTAAATGTCCTGGGAACCTATCCCTGAATCCCCAGTCTAAACAAAGTATCTTCCTTCTTATTTCAAAGCAGCTTGCTCCTATTAGCAATCTCACTATATTCTAGTCATCTCCTCCTTCATCCCACAGCATACAAACTACTTACTTCAAGCAGCGTACCTTCTTCAGTCCCTCAGATGTCACATGGTAAATCAATAGATGCTGTTTGAACAAATGCATGAGCCACACAATTTCGGTATGTCAGTGACTTCCCATATCTATCTTGAATCCTAACCTTCCTTCTTCTAAAGAGCCAGATCTTCTTTTCCAGCTTCCTAATGGTTATCTCCATTTGCATTCCTGCTTAGCAGTTTTTAAAAGAAATTTGTTAACTTCTCCCATCTTTCTCCCTACCTGGTCAGTATCTGTTTCTCTACTATGTTTTGAATGTTTTAATGCTTCTGTGCCACCAAAATCCGTGTTGGACTCTAACATCCACTCTGGTAGTATCAAAAAGCAGGAGCCAGGCATAGCAGTGAATATCTGTACTCCCAGCACCCTGGGAGGTAGAAGCAGGAGGATCCTAAGTTCAAGCCCAGCCTGGGCAACTCAGCAAGATCCTGTCTCATGATAAAATATTGTATTTGGGCAATAATTAGGTTATTAGGGAACCACCCTCGTGAATAAAAATAATTCTTATTAAAGAGGCTTCAGAGAGCCCTAATCCTTTTTGTTTCTCATCTTTTCTACCACATGAGAACATAATTTTCAATCCCTCCAGAGAGACAGTCAACCTCTGGAAGCAGAACTAGGCTTTCACCAGACATAAAACCTTCTGGTGCCTTGATCTTCAGTTTTCTTAAATTGTGAGCAACAAATGTAGGTCATTTTATGTTACCTCACCTTGAATTCCTGCCTCAATTCCATGAAGTCCACCTAGTTTCCCAGTCAGTATCTTTCTCAAGATCTTCATTTTCACCACATACTCGGTTGATTCTTCACACTGTTAATTCACCCTAAACTAATCTTCTAATACTCAATATATATCTTTTTTAAATCCCTAATCTCAAAAGCACTTCTTGGCATACTATGAAAAAAAATGTGCATTCAGTAAACAAATTTCTGATGTATCTCAGAGCTTTCAATATATTACTTATCAATAGGAATCTCTGAGAAGGAAATATAATGTGCATATTTTTCAAATTTATCTGACCAGGAAACATTTTGCTAAAGGGCAGTGCTTCACACTGGTCTTCTGAAGACTCCACCTGGGACAGTGCCGATCCACTCTGTGCACTAGGCTTCACGCTTCACTGCTGCCCTAACATAGGCCTCTGCCATCCTCAACCGTCTCTTCTCAGATGGCCCCCTTGTTTACATCTTTGTCATCATTGAAACCATCTCTACAGTCAGTTTTGTTTTTCTAATAGAAATACCTGATCATTCTTGCCACTGTCCCCAAAATCAACATCAGCTTTTTATACAGATTCCAGTCCAGGGCCTGTTTATGTTCCCTCTGAACCTGGCCCCGCACATCTTCCCAGCTTCAATTCTACCACACTGACCTTTTCCCAAAATATAGCATGGATCTGTCCCCTTTCAGACCTTTAATTCATTTTGCTCCCATCGCTTCATATGGTCTCTCTTAATCCCATGCTGCCACTAAACAAACCCCTCCTTAAAACCTACTGTTAGTGAGATCTCCTCCCATAAATATTCACCCCATCCTTGCTTTTTACTCATCAGTGCTTCCATAATGCTTTTCCATTTTCCTCTATTACAGCAATTATCACATGGTAGAAAAAGAGATGATCTTGTGTTTATCCCCAGCATTACTTTCTGTGCCTTTTAATCTTTGATTCCCCAATTCCTAACATAGTCTGGCACAGATCAGGTGCTCTTTGTTGAATGAAAAAATATACAAACAAATGAATACATAAATAGCTTTAGAAAGTCATGAGGAAAAAAATTAAGATGAGACTTTGAAAGCTGTAACTAAAAGTTTGTTATAAGGAGTCATTTATTTAAACCAGTACTGTCAGGAAAGCAACAGCACTTTGCTTAAATAGACCCCAGTTTCTACATTACTATGTTTCTGATAAAGAATACATCTTTACTATACTTTGCCTTAAGGGAAGACTCTGCAGCTCCCAAATTCTGTTCAGAGTTCTGAGGGAACATACTTATAAATAGGTTTCCTTCCCTAACTCCCTCACCCAGCAGAATTCAGGTCTAAACCCAGGACTGCTGTAGCAATGGTGCAATAAACAATCTCAGGATTTATACTGGAAAGAACATCACTCATTGAAAACACGCAGCCAGATTTGTTCCTACATGTCGCTTTACCATTCGGATGACCTCGTCTCAATGTCTAGCATTCCCCAACATTCAGCTATTCACTGTACCAAGACTTTTCACTGATAAAATATAAATTTTATGGTATTGTCGCAACAAAAAAAAATTCCATTACAGCTTTGCCTGTTGGTTTGCTGAGTTTCTTGGTTGCACTCAAATCTCACCTCTTGCGATAAGATCCATAGGCCAGCACTTTTCTTTTAGCCTATAACAATGTGCCTCCTTGAAAGAAGTTTGTCCTTGTAAAGACTCCTCCGAATGCCGACTTTTGGAGCGCTCCTTAGGAGGACAAATATGTTGAAGTGCTGCCCGATGTTCTTGGAACACATCAACATCAAGTGTTTCCTTTTTCTTAATCTCCAAAGGCATATATTTGCTGGATTTTGGTTTTTGGTGTTTATTCCTAAAAACATTTATAGAAGGACCTTGAACTTTATTCTAAGAACAAAACCAAAAAAAGTTTCAAATTAATTTTGTTACTCAATTATGTATCACCTTTATCAATAAATAAAATTATAAAATGGAAACGTTCATAATGAATTTCAATTGTTAAATTTATAATGTATCTTTAGTAAATATATTTACAACATTTCTTACTGTATAATTAGTTTACTAGAGAGCAACATGACAGGAATCAGCTAAGTCAGCTGTTACTCTACCTAGCTTTCCAAAAGCTCTTCACAAACATTAAAGTTATATTCCACTTCAAAATAAATGTACGTTTTTAAATAGTTACTTTGTCTTCACATGTGATATTTTAAAATACAGACTCAAAGTCCATTTTAAAAATAGGTATTTTCAAACAGACGTGTAGGAATTTAATTATATTCACTCTTCTCTGAAGAACTCCTAAATGTCTATGAATGCTAATATTCCCAAATCTCCCTCTCTTGTACACTAGAAATGACCAAGCATCCACAGAGGAAAACTCTCAGGAAAACCATATTGATAATGAGGTATATATTGATAATGAGGTATATATTGCAAATTGACTTTATTATTTAATTTCTTCCTAATCTTGATGAACATAAATGGAAGAAAACAAATGGAGCTTCCTATATTTGACAGGTAACTACCCAAACCATTATGATTGCTCTAGAGAGAGCTATTATTCCTCCCCTTCACCCCAAATAAAAATGTCTTGAAAAATTCAATTCCTTTCCAATACAAATTATTGTCAACTCAAAATGTTAATAGGGCTTTAGTACACTGAAATCATGTTTATCCAGGCAATTTAAGATAGAATAATAGGCTACTAATACTACGTAGAATTCTTAAAGCTGCTGATACTAGACGGAATTCTTAAAGAATCCTCAGGATCATTTATTTCATGTACCTATTCGTGCAATCAATATAATTGAAGTTAATTTTAAATTTGTTAGAGAAAACAATTAGTCAAGTAATGTAACAGTGTTGATTACAAGGCTAAAAACATCTGTGGCCGGGCATGGTGGCAAACCCACGGCCCAAGTGCTACAGATGGCTGTTCATTAGCACTGAACGCTCTAAAAGGCTTGCCATCGCTGAGACGATCATTCAAAAGAAGCACATGTAAAAATGATAATCCCTTTCCCACAAAAAAAAAAGCAATACAACTTTTAAAATCACTACTTAAAATTCTGTCTAACTTTTTAAGTATTGAAAAGGAAAATAAGTCAAAAGTAGAATATAATCCTCATGTTTGTGAGTCAGTCTCCTTCCCTCACCTGCGTCCCCATTTGTCACGCAAAGTGCCCCTCTCCCAAGCTATCTGCCTATTCTGTGGATGCTTCTCTATGCCATCCCACCCCCTTTCACCCTTTTTGCTCATTTTCCAAAGAGCAATCCAGAGGGTATCTATGGCATAACACACATTGTTTGCTACTAGAGAAGCAACATTAATAAAAAAAAAAAAAAAAGAAAGAAAGAAAAGAAAAGTCTGTGCCCTTGAGTAGCCATCAGCCTGGCAGACAGTTCTAATGCAAAACAATGTGGAGGAGAACACCAGTAAAGTCACGCTAAGGGTACTAAAGATATGCATCTTACAGCAGATTTTTCATTTTAGTTTATCCTATAGAATTTAAAGGGACATTTATTTGAAACAAATTTAAATAATTGTGCTATAATTTATCAAAAGAAAACATTATAATTGATTCAAACTACATATGTCAAATTAATTTGCAGAAATAAATATTTTTAAATACTATCTAAAATCAATTTTTGCAGCTACTACTTCATTTTCTCCTTTATTTAGAAGCTATCTCTACTAGGATTCATGCAAAACTTTGAAATAACCATTACAGTAGATTTAAAAATAGTTATTATTTTTATGAAAAATAGTGTTACATAAATTCAAAGCACCAACCTTATTTATTTTCTCATAATGTTGAGCAATAAAAGTTGTCGCTTCTTGAAGGAAATCTTGCCTCGTCTCTAAAGAAGGACCTAAAATAGAAACACGTAAACAACTTATAATTTTAAATGTAGTTATGTATACTTTCTTAATCAAAATTATGAAATTAAAATTTGGGGAACATCCCAAATTTAGGGTCCTTGAATCTCAAAGGGTGCTAAAAGAAGTTTATCTTATAAGTAGACATAAGTGGATGTAAAAGAAGTTAATATTATGATTCTTTAACATAATATTTGGCTATTTAAAGGGCAAATTTACTTGTAATTGTCACAGCGATTACATTTTCCTGAATTATTAAGTCCCAGGGAAACCAAAGGATAAAGCACAAAATTTAGACATCCTTTTGTGTTGAAAATTCTGTATTATTTTATGGAGAGTACAACAACATATTTTGGACAAAAACTTTTTAATAAGTTTTTCTATTTTCTGTAGCTGTTGACTAATACCATGTATACCATGACTCTGTATTTCTTCAAGAATATTTACAATTGGTTGATAAAATTATAATTGCAAAATAAATTGCCTCAAAACATTTACTAAATAGGAATAGTGATGAAATGAAAATATATGTACACTTACATATAAGAACAGTGATGAAATAAAAATATACACATCTACATATAAGTAACATAGTTAATCACATGCCTAATTTTTAGTTTCTTAATTTCTCTTAACCCAGAATTTTACAGCATGAACATCATCAACGTCATTCTCACTTATTCTTGTCTAAGATTTCCTCTTTATATGTTTATTCTAGCTTTAGCTGATTCTGACACTTTTAAGTATATTTTGAAGTCCTCCTCTTAATCTGCATTCAGTAAAATTTAAATATAACACCTATTTAAATTATCTTTTACTCCAGTATGCTCCCCACTTCTAAAACTCCATCTCTCTTAGGACTCTTACAATCTCTTTTCTTTCCATCCACTCAAATCTTAAGCAGTTAGAAACTCTATCTTCATGCAAACCAAAACTATAAGAATCCACATATCTCCCAAAATGACTAAAAGTAAAAAGATGGATAACATTAAATCTTGGTGAGACTGTGAAGACACTGAAACCCTCAGATTTTGCTAGTAGAAATATATAAAGGAATAATCGGTTTGAAAAAGGTATGACCAGTTACCCACCATGATCACTTGTAGGTATGTACCACAGAAAATGGAATTATGTTTACAATATCTTGTACAAGAATGTACTCATAAATTGGAGATGGCCTACATGTGTATAGACAATAGAGTGGGTAAACAGAATGCAGTACACTTACACAACAACAACAGAATGCTTAGCTATACAAAAGAACCAAACTGCTGACATGCACAACAATGGAAAATTTCCAAAAGCATACTGAATTAAAGCAACACTATACATAAAAATATTATATAGTTCCACTTATATGAAGTCCCAGAGCAAGGAAAATTAATCCATGATAGAAACAAACAGAACGGTGAATCTTTCGTTAGATGGGATCAAGGATTAATTACTAATAAGGAACATGAATGAAATTTCTGAGAAGAAGGAAATGTTCTACAGCTTTATAGAAATATGGACTATAGAAAACTATGTAATTAACATAATTCAATGGATGTATAACTAAGATTTCTGCATTTGATTTTGTGTACATTTTACATTACAATATTATATGTAGTTATATAGTTAAATGTTAGTTAATAGTTACATGTTACACAGTTTTGGAAAACTGATAAGCACTAATTTCTGACTGATACAGATGTTGACTAATGAATGGATACATGATTGAGAATAGTAAAATAGTATTGGTAAGAGCTGGTGGTAAATATATATTTTATATATATTATATATATAAGCTAGTGGTAAATATATATTATATATATAAGAATTTTGAAACAATATATATTTGTGTTGTTTCAAAATTCTTTCAGATTCTGTGTGTATAAACTTTCATAATAAAGTGTCACTAGGGTAAAACTCCCTTCTTCATTCCTGCACAAAATAATCCTCTGCTTTGTACCAGGTAGCCTCATGGGCCACATGTTGCTGCTACAACATGAGCCTCAAGAAAAAGCCTGTGAGATGACTGTACCAATAAAGGAGCAAGATGACAGGACTCTTGCCAACCCTAAGTAAAGGGGCTGAGTCAGGAGTCGAAGCATGTTCAAAGCCCCTTGCCAAGATAACACAAGCTGGAGTTGTCCATCTGCCAGTATTCTAGAAAGAAGGACACCTTCTTTTGCTCTCACCAAGGTTTGAAGTCCTTAGCAAACTCTCATCTCCCTGTCTTTGTATATGACCAGTATAACTATCCACATTGAGGACTACATATCTCAAGGGTTATCGAATGGAAGCATGTTTTCTTTTACTCAATAAACAGTAGTTGTCAAGATTTCATGTACATTTCTGGAAAAATATGTGTTATCTTTGTGTGAAAAGGAACACAATCTCACATGTAAATTAGAAAATGATCTATGTGGATTTCCCAGTTCAGAGCCATAAGAGACACAGTCCTCACGTGGAAGAGACAGTCTGAATACCCTGTAATACTTTCATTGTCTTGAATGGTTTTACACTGTCTTGTTATGTTTGATATTATAGTATATGAAGGTATACTCAAATATTTCAAGGAAAGAGACAATATGGTAACTACTCTTATGTCAGGTTGTCTTGTGGTGAAACACTATGTTGCTTAAATTATTCTGTTCTGTCCTGTGTTGTTATGCCCTCTTTTATCTTAGTGTTTTTTTTTAATTAAAAAAAAAGAAATGTGAATTGTCAGTTTCATCAGGTTTTAACCAAAGTCTAATTCTGCTTTGAGGAGGTCTGTAGCCGGAGCACTTTCTTCCTGGAGAGAAGGCAGTGAGATATTCCCAGGTATGACTCCACAACTTGTCTTCCTTTTCCTCCTTTCATGACAATTCTATTCTCTATTCATTTCTCTCTTCTGATGAATCAAATCTTCCTTTAAATTATTTAAATGCCATTGCTTATAATAACAGCATTGTCATGCACCATGCATGTGAGAGGCAATATAATGAAATATTAACGTACTGATTGTGATAAAATTGAAGCACATGTTTCAGCCAAGGCCACAGAGATGACCCCGTCTTCTTGCACAGGTGAAGGTGAGACACGGTGCACCTGAGTGCAGAGCATCACACCTCAGCTGTGGATCTTCACAGGCTCTGGTCTCGAGTCTCTGGTCTCTTGCTGCCTTTTCTACACATCTGCTGCTAGTCCTGAGGCCACGCACTCCCTAGGAGATTCCTGACACTTGACTGGTCACCCTGGAGAAATACATTCACTGACACTCATTTTAAACAGCATTCCCGAACACCGTTGTCATTTAATGTGTTGATGACGCTGTTCAGATTTTCCCCTCAGTAACCAAAAGCAAGCTTTTGTCAGAGGGGCTGAGTTTTAAAGATACAGTTTTCTTCCTCGTTGGTCTTTTGTGTTGAATGGCATGTCTGCTCACCTGTCCCCTGGGGACTTATACAGAAGTGCATATGTACCCTGGCAAACCCAATGGCCTTTGTGGTGCCAGCAAGCAGATGCAGATACAATGAAGTCCTGCTATGGTGCGTTCACATAGCCAGACCATGAGAGCTGTGGATAGAACAAGACTTGGCATTGCTCATGAAGAGGCAAAGACAACCAGGATCAGCAGTGTTCCAAGGATGTTGACGGCAGCTCCACTGAAGGCCAGTGGACAGCCCTTCACCCTTCTCATCAAATGACATGCCAAGGCAGCTGCTCTGCTTTCTTCTATAAATATAGTTAGCCTTAAAGAAAAGATTTAAACTCCCAAGGTGGTACATGATAGTTCTTATCTTAATGGCTTATAAAAGACAATGTTATTTTTCCTCTTTAGTATTATAGTATATTTAGTATTATATCCAAAAATAGGTATATTTTCAATAAATAAACCTAAAATTATTAGAAATAAACAACCTGCGCACTAAGAATCCATCCACTTGGTAAGATCAGAGGCTTGTATTTCTCTGTTCACAATGGTGTATGCATACTTGTATCAGCACACAACTTTTTACATTCAAGCGCCCACAACAAATTAGAGGAAGTTGCCAATATCTGCCCTTCTCTGTTAAGATATCTTTACTTATGGCTTTGTAAATATAACTCCATACCTTAGAATGGTTTTTAAGAGCCTCCATTCCTGAGTCACATGATTGTGTTTAAATTCAGATTAGCTCACAAACCTTACTTTATCTTCATCCTTAGTTTTATCATTTGTGAACTAGGAATAACAATAATTTATGCCACAGAGAAGAGAAATTACTGCAACATAACACAGCATTTAGCCCACTTCCTGGTACATAATAAGCTTTCCATAAATGTGAGCAATTTTTGTTACTATTGGTGTTACTATAGTACTATCATTGGACTCCACTTATCTCCTAACAGTGTTTAATAATTTCATTAGCCAATCCTCATTTCTTCAATAGCACAAAATAGACAATTTTCTAATTTAGTTTGAATGAGTTGCCTTGTCACAATGTTTTATCTAAAACTAATTGATCTGTTCATAGACAATAACATTTTTTCATCCCTAGAATTCTTCAAGTTACTAACTCCCCAAAAACAAATAATAAATTATTACCTGCAGATGTTTCATAATAAAGTTCATGCAGAAGTTGAAATGGTCATAATGAAATGACCTAAAATAATTATTAACATTTCCTTAGGGAAAAATGCAAATGTATCTAATCTCAAGGGCTTTCACCAGTCTCAAATAATTTCTTACATTTATTTTCTTTTTAAAGAAAAACTCATTCTCTATATCATCAGTTTAATGCTACTGCTGTGATGGTTCATAAACTGCAGCTTCCTCTCACTGCTTTAGGGCTTCTATTCAGTTGCTCTGGTAAACCTCTGAAGCGATGATACAAAAAGAAAATGTAGCTGTGGAAAGTATGACAGGGAATGAGTCATCTCTTGATTACAGTCATCGAGAAAGTCTGTCCTGCATTCAGAAAGACCCAAGAGCCTGAAAACATGTGTTTTTCATAACTAAAAAATAACTGGGCACATTCAGAGGGTTTCCATCCTTCCCACTGAAAGGTAACATTCTACAGAGGTTTGCAAGACCCTGCCAGGAATATAATCCTGAACAAAGGTGTGGCCACATGGCTCAGGCTATTCTTCAATATAAAGTCAGAGCAAACACATAGCTGTGTCGGATTTCACAAATGTTAGCACAGCATCCTCCCTGTGACTCAGCCCAGGCAAAACGGGACTCATTCTGCAGGCGCCTATTACATACCTAGTGAAGGCCAGTTGCTGTTTGATGGTAAATGTGCTAAACTCAACAAGATACTAGTCATCCCTATCTTCTAGGTGCTGAAAAGTCTACTGCCAGAATATTTTGCAACTAAATGTCATGACATTCAGTAAGAAATGTACTCTAATAGAAGAAAGTATAAACCACCAATGACAGCCAATGCTAATGTTTTAATTTCCTTTTAAAGAGATAAAACTTTATATTATTGGAGATAAATTTTAAATCAGAACTATCCCAAGAGAAATAACACAGTGATTCAAATCTAGGCTTGGGCAGTGTTTTTAGAGCTGTGCTTCATTAATGTCATACACCTCGAGGGTGCTTCCTTTCAATCAGAGCAGCTCGGACCTCCTCTGTTTCATCTATCTGAGCTCTTTCTAAGCTTTAATTTAAAAAAGGAGTCCTTTTTCTTGTGCCTACACCCAACAAGTAAAAAAAAAAAAACACCTGCAGTTTGAACATAAAATCTCTAAGGAGATATTCGTTCAAAAAGAACCTGCTTCGTAAGCAGGCTCAAGTGGACAGAAAAATCTCAAGAACATCAAGGAGTTAGGAGAAGCTGTGCACAGCAGCTGGAAATGGGGCGAGCTGGAGTCATGGTGAATCATCTTTGGGTAAATGGTTTTGCAAGGTGGAAGATGAACAGAAAATGTTAACAAAAATTTGAAATAAATGTTTATGTTCAATTCTTCTTTTACATGTAAGTGAAAAAATGAATTGTTTCTGATTTCTTCTCAGAAAAGAACAAAATGAAACACAAATCTATGGGCATATCCATCACTTCCATAGAAACATATTGACAATTTTTTCTACAACACATTCTTCTTCAGTTCCACATGAACGGCATTTTGTGGAAATGTCTTTTTAATGTACTTTGCCTCCTGTCTCCCTTTTGCTATTCCTGGTTATCTTTAACAAAGCATCTACTTTTTAGACTACAAAAGTGATTAATAAGTTTCCTTTATACTTCACAGTAATTTTACAGTATACCCACCTTCCAAAATTTTTCTGCATTATTTCTCTGGAGTTAGACTGCTAGAAAAATCTAGGGGAATTCTAAACTTATAGTACTGAACCTTGAAATACAATTTAAGTAATTACGGACATGATCTGAAGGCAAAATGAAACTAAAGAACATTCCTCTTCTTTCTTAAATCTTCCTCCTTTTCTACCTTTTCCATCTGTGTTATACAAATCAAAGGAAACTATATTATTCAAGTGAAATGTACTATATTACACAAATGAAATGTATTATTTGTGTAACAATACCCTGGACAGATGTTAGGAGGCCAATATGGTGATGAGGGGCCACAAGAGTTAAGAAGAGCTGGCAGAAAAATAATAATCTGGGGCCGAAGGTTTAGCTCAGCAGCACAAGCACCTGTCTGGCAAGTGTGAGGTCATGAATTCGATCCCCAGTACCAAAAAATAATAAATAATCAAGTAAATAAATAAAATAATAATCTCAGCTCTATATGCAGCCCTATATGTTTCTCAGCCATGCTAGCTAAGTCTAAATTTAGGATTGCTTGTATTGCTATGAAATCTTAATCAGCTCTAAAAGAAAACAAGGTGTAGTTAATAGCAATGAAATCTGCTTAGAGAATAGATGTGAAGTATTATTACCATACATACACATGTACACACACACACAAAGGTAACTACATGAATGCTTAAAAGTTTTCCAATAACTTAATTATCCACTTTAAAATTAAAATTAAATGAAATAGTCAGTTCCTTTATTTCACTAACCGCATATCAAGAACTGAGTTACCTTGTATGATTACTGGACTCCTCCTATACATCAGATGCTACAGACCTGTCGGAAGTTGATTATACTTAAAGGGAGTGAGATGTACCCTAAGTGTAGTCTTAAGAGGGATATTAACTCACAGAAAAGATTCTAAAAGAGTTGAGGTGTCGCACATTGTACATCAAATAATCAGGCAAGAATGGATACTCACATTTTGGTTTCTCAGGCAGAGCCTCTGCTGTATCCATGATGGGTGATTAGGATGATCTTATCTGAAACAATGAGTTTCAAGTCCTTAAACACAGTCACGTGAAGCTATTCAGTGCTGATGAATATTTAGCCATTTCTCTCCTCACTCATAAACAGATGAACAATTAATGCTTCTACACATTATTCTTTTGCTCTAAAACCTTGAATGCTTTATTGGGTAAGCTTTGTAATTTATGGAGTGCTTGTATACACACTACCCTGCTACCTCCAAATAGTTCATCCTATAATTTCAAAGGCTTAAATGTGTGCCTCAAGGTTCATGTGTTAGCAGCTTGGTCCTCTGGATGGTGATGGTGGTATGAGACATTTCAGAAACGCGCTTAGCGTTAGGTCACTAGATCAATTGAGACACGTCATCAGATGCTGCTGTGGCACTCCAGACTCTCTGGCTTCCTTATTCTAAGAAGCAATTTCTTGTTTTCACATGTACTCTTGCCGTTACATGACACAGCCAGAAGAGCCCTCACCAGAGCTGGGAAAAATCCAACACTGTGCCCTTAAACCTCCAAATCTATGTGCTAAATAAATCTCTTCTCTTTTTATAACTAGTCTACTCTGCGTGTTGTTACAGTAATGAAAAATAAAGCAGCCTGATAGGAACTACTGTCCCATTTATCGCACTCAGAGAAGTAAAATTAAATTATCAACATAAATTGCTATTAGTGGTATGGCCAGAACTCACATCCAGACATTTGAGCCTAAGACCCAAGCAATCTTATCTGATTTCTCACTACTTTACAGTTACTACTAATTAATACACAGCACACACCCAACATACTCCTGCCTTCAGCTTCAATTTATGTCAGTATTCTGTACAAATGAAGTGTTCTGTCATCTACATTTATCAATATCATATCTATTCTTAAGAGAGTCTGAATCACACTTCCCTAATACATCGAACATCTCTGCGGACACAATATCAGCTACACTGATGCAAAATACTGTGCGTTTACACAGTTTTATACAAAAGTGGGAATATTAAATGCTCTAAAGAACCTGTTGCAGTACAACTGTTCAGTTGGCTGACAACTGACAAACTACAAGTGAAATGCTCAAGATCTGTTAAATACTTAGGGGATTATTTCACTAATAATGTAAGCCAGCCTACGAAAGTCATGATTCCATGGTCACATGTTCTCAGATAAGGGGCTAAAACATTTTTCCTCAGCATCATTCAGTGGAAAGAAAACTACTGCAGTTATAGTTTTAAAATAAATCTGAAACATCCAAAAAGATTAATGCTCAAATTGTCAGTACTGTACCATGGGCAACAGCACAGAATATACACCTTGTGTGCCTAGTTCTGCAAATAAACATGGATAAATTAAAATGCTGCACCTCCCTCAGCAATTAACACTCAAGAGTCATTCTGGTTTGTCTTAATTATTGTCCTTTTACATTTAAATATAAGAGGAAAATTAAAGTGCTTTGTGCTCTGTCATTTTCTTGTTTGAATCTCCATAGAAATGGACACTTTTTTGGGGCTCTGGGCTCCTCCACCTTAATTCAGTATGCCAGAAGTGTCATCCTACATTAAACTGGCTGACAAGCAAGACACCCCACTGTCCGTTCAATGCAGGAAAGTAGTCGAGCACCATAAGAGGTGCTGTCAAGGTTATGCCTTCACTAACCGAGGGGATGGGTGAAAACTCTGAGGTGGGACATGGAGAAGAAGGAAGGCCTTAACACTGGAATTACTCAGAGATGAACACAGTGACAGAACCAGAAAATAATGTGCTTCTCCACTTTAAGTCCCCACAGACAGTTATGAGACTGTGGATCCCTCACGAAGCACTGATCACTTGATAAATATGTATGTGGTACCTGAGTCACACAAGCAGATGGCCATCTATTTTGGAAGGAAAGATAAAAGTAAAGATACAAAAACTATATACTAGATGTCATAATAAAGTCTTAGGGCTTATGAATGAAGTTAGAAACTCTCGTGAGTGCCATGAATTTAAATGAAAATGACAATATCAAGGGCTGAGACTGTGACAGAAGGAAGTTCAAGACAGACTGGGCTATTCCTGGAAGGACGAACATGGTCGTGATAGTGAAACTAGGTTGGGCATTAACCAACCCAAACTGGCTTCCAGCCAGCATATCCCTGCAACCTGGAATAGCAGACCTGAGTGAGCTGGACTAAATCTGAGAAGAACAGAGAAGGCAAGCAGATAGAAGTGCAGCAAATGATGAGGTGAAGATGCAGTAAATACTGGGGATCAGTAAATATTGTGACAGATTCAAACAGAGTTAATTTTCTGCTGCTGAAATAGACAATGAACAATTAAGTATTTTGAACAGGTACTGATATAACCAGTGTTCTGGGATGCAACTTCTATAAAGGCAAGGAATTTATTTTTCTCCCTACATTACTACCAATACCTCTAACAGGCCAATCAATCATGAAGAAGTATTGCAAGAAATATTTGTAGAACGAGTGATTATGGCAAAAGTACACAGGACAGGGGTGTCCTTCCTTCTCACATCTGTCACCTTTAGCACGTTTTTAAGTCCCTTCACCTGTCTCCTCCTGTGGACAAAACTTAAAGCTCTCCTAGACTGGGTTACAGGAATACTAATGCATTCTAATTCCATTTCTACATGGATAAAAACAAACAAGTAAAAGCAACTTTCTACTTTATCCCCGTAGTTTGATCTTCTTAAAGTGGATGACTAAAAACACTTTATCAATAGTATCTACACATGGCTTATATCTAAATTTCCTTTAAGATCTTTATGCATTCATAGGTGGGGTTTTGGAAGGTGGTTAGATTATGGGGGCTTATAATTGTCTTTCTGATTGGGGTCTGATCAGAAGAGGTGGGTGACCTGGATGACCTGAAAGGCTTCTTTCTTCTTTCCCCATTCTCTCTTATTTTTTTTCTCTGTTTCCTGACTGTTATGTTCTGCCATGTTCTGTCATGCCTTTCTGCCATGGAACCAGCCAACTGTGGACTAAAACATGAGCCAAAATAAACCTACCCTTCCTTATTTTGTAGGAGTTGGATATTTTGCCCCAGCAACGAGGAAGCTAATGTACAAATATAGTTTGGACCATAAATATGCCCCTAACCTGTGTGCTGAAGTTTGGTCTCTAACTTGATGTTACTGGAAGATGCTGGAACCCGTAATGGGTGAGGCCTCTTAGGAGGAAGTTGGGTCACTGAAACTCTGTCCTCAAAGAAAATATTGAGACCCTGGCACCCTCTTCTCTTTTTGTTTTCTGGCCACCTGATTGGTCAATAGCATTTCTCCATCACATGCTCCTACCATGACACACTGTGTCATCAAAGACCCAACATGATGGAGCCAAGCAACCATGAACTGAAACTGCTGAAACCATAAGCCAAAATAAACCTTTCCTCCTAATAAATTATTATCTCAGATATTTTGTCAGAGTGACAAAAAGCTGATTAATACAACATTCTTTATAACTGAGTTCCTGGAGGCAAAGAACTACACTATGTTATGCGGTGGGATGCAGGCAAATGGCCATGTTCCAGGGATCTTGAAAACAATTTCAGTAGCTAAAATAAAGGCAAATAAGAGCAAATCTTTATTTTTTCACTCTCAGTCTAGCTAAACCCCCCTTCCTTCAATTATACTACTCCTATTTAGCTATCTCAGAAACTGTTCCTCTATCTACCCAATTCCTTAGGCCATAAACCTTTGAGTCTTCCTAAATTTCTATCTAACCATATGCACTCCATAACTGCAATTTTCTGCTTTACCTTCCTCCCAGAAACAATCGTGTCATTCCTGGACCCCTGGAATAGCCTCTTGAATGCTCTGTTTTCATTCTTAAGCTGTTCTAGTTCATTCTTCATGCAGCAAGAGTACTTTGTTGTGAATCAGAACACAAGATTTCTCTACCATGGCATGATCTCCCTCTGATTGCATTTGAAACAAAGCATAGCCTTTTGCTCTGAGCTCTCTCCTCTCACAAAACTGAGTAAATATGGATGAAGAGTAGGGCTGGCATTCCACATCTCCACCCAGAACTAAGTTGAAGGACTTTTCTTGGCCTCAGATAATAATAAAATTGCGGGACAAAAGGACTCTCTCTGCAATCTCGTCATTTTCTAAAACTCTATTACTGCATTGCTTTTGTATACTATGCTAAAAATAGCCCCAAATCCTAGAAATCAGCAGTTTTTTCAAGAGTTCCTGCCTCTCCTCCCCACTTTGTTTGTGTTTGGGCAGAGTTGGAGCAGGAAATGAGGAAAAGTGCTCCAGGGCAAGCTTCCCTGTCAAGTCCCTGCTGGAGCTCTTGTCACTGCCTATCAAATCTGACTTCCACCTGCTCCCTTCCAGGACCTGTCTGTGTTACCCATTTCCATTCTGTGTTAAGGCTGAGCACCCCCCCCCCCTACTTTTTCTTCTTCAAATCAACCAGGACCTTTAGGGCAGTCATTTTCTACCTTTGCTTCCTGAAAACTTCTCTCTGACAAATCTTCTAATCCCCCTGAGCAAACCACAGGATTTGGTGTCACCAAACCATAGGAATAAGAAACACGAGAAAGGAGAGCAGGTCAAGAAACCAAAACAGAACAAGTCTCAACTAGGTGCAAAATAGAAGGGCCAATAATAGATATCTAAAATGGATAAAGGCATGATAAATGAAAGAAGAATAGAAACTTTATAATTGTATACTCGATATTAGGTACCAAATGACAGCCATAAAATGAGAAAGAAAGAAAATCCTTTATGAGCAAGAATATCAGGAAACATAACAGCTAAGAGACCACATGCAACCATGGCAAAACAGGGAATAAACACTTCATTCCTGATGCAGATATGCCTTTTGACTCTCTAACTTACTCATGGCAAGGCATTATCCAGAGACAGAAAATGGGAGGGAAAAGAACAGAATTGAATCATTAAAATATTACTCCCCTTTGCCCCAAACCATCAGTATAGGTGTTCGGGGGCTAAAGAAAATGGATTTCAGTCCCAATCCTGTTACTGTCCA